TTGGTGGTTATAATAAATAATTATCTAAGAAGACTAAACATTTGTAACAAATTACAATGTTATATATAATAGACTGTACATTACTAAAAATTACATTATATGGTAGACATTTTATTTGGTATAAATCATTAGCTTATATGTCTGAATTAATATTCACTACAGTTTCCTAAAAAGTGATTCGTCGTTTTTTGCACCAAATACGACAAATTGCTACAAATCTATTGTAATACAAGTTATAATATGTTTTGCTTCTACCGAAACATCTATATCATCTCAACAGAGATATTTTTCTAGATTCACATGAAGGAGAATCTTGTTTACTTTGTCCAACATAAATTGTTTCAATTGCTTTACAAGGTGATTAGTAATTTGGCTTTAAAATCTATGAAAACATTTAAAAAATATTCAAATTCTAAATTTCTCCAATCAAACTTATTAGATTTAGCACCCCTAAAAAACCTAAAATCATTTTTTAATTTTCTCACATCATGTTTTTTTTTCATATTATGTTTTATTTTATTATAGCTTTTCTTTTATGGTTTTTTTAATTGTACACATTAAAATATAGTAATTTACATAAAAATTACATAAATTTACACAAAAACTTAATTGTAATTTGTTGAATTAATTTACATAGGAATTAGGTATTAAATTGTTAGAATGAATTGCTAAATTTAATAAAAGGTATTTAATTTTTACTTTTTTTTTAATAAATAAAATTAAAAAAATATATCAAAAGAGTTGTTGCCACATGACAGCATCTCATAGCTTTAGTATTAAAAATTTTTAAAATATTATATAAGATTGCTAAAATTCTACCCATAAGATGAATTGGTTGTGTCATGTCAATTTACAAACAGTTCGATCTCTTTTCTAATTATATTAATAAACAAAATAATAAAGCATCTAATTTACCTTTAACAGAAAAAATACCCAACTTCTATCAACGACTATAATTATTGGTGGACCAGATTGTTGCAATTAGTTTAGTCTCTAATTTAACTATATTACTTTGTTCATCTTAAATCAGAATTACCATTCATATTTTAGTTACTATTAGATATTTTTGATAATTGAATATAATAAACAAAGAGAATTACATGTGAAAACGTGTGCAAAGAAAAAGAAAAAGACATATATGCGTTACAGAAAAAAAGAGTGACAAATATGTAAACACATAAGGTATAAATATCGACACCTTGTTGGTACGTTTGGAGCATGTTGCACAACATGCAAATCTTTTCATCACTATTCACTAAAAAAAGCGTTCGAGGCAGTAACCGCTTCTAACGCTCCACAAATTTTTATATTAATTTTTTGGTGCTCACAGAGACTTAAGTTGTGTCACAAATTCACACTTAGTATTTGTAGTTAAAAAAATTATCCAAAGTATATTTTCTATGTTTCGAAATAA